ATAATATATTATTTGGGCCATTTGCCTCTCCTCCTCTTGTTTTGTCAGGCTACACACACATCTGGACTGTGAGGTACACACACAAACATTTTTGCCTTAATCCCCTGACCTTTTTTGTCAAAAGTTTCTGGTGGCCTTCCAGAGGAGAGTTATGATGTGCCGCTACATTGTGGCCAGAGCCTGCTGCGACAGAGGGAGAAGAACAACTAGGGGGAAAAAAAAAACACTACAAAGGACAAAGAATGATAGAAGTGATGTAATGAGCTCTGCACCGAGAGAAACGGATGAAAGGACAAACATAGTGCGCGCACAATCACACACACAAGGAGACAGCTTTTTACCTGGATGTGCCTCATTTTAATGTCCTGCTAGATTTTTTTTTCTTTTACCCCATTTCCTTTTGCCAATTTAGTTTTTTCCAAGGCTGTGTCTGTTTTATATTCTCTGTTGGGAAGAAAACAATTCCTGCAGTTGCTCAATATATAGACACACTGTAATATTTAATTCCTCCCTTTAATTTCTGCTGCACAATGTCCTGTTTCCTCAGTAATGGATTATGGATGGAGCATGGATTGTTCTTTACCTTTACTCATACACACTTTGGTGTGAGAGACCTGGGTTCAACTCTCCACTGTAACACATCCACCATTGTGTCCCTGAGCAAGACACTTAACCCCTAGTTGCTCCAGAGGCGTGCGACCTCTGACATATAAAGCAATTGTAAGTCGCTTTGGATAAAAGCGTCAGATAAATGTAACATGGAGAGCAAACCCACCAAAATAATTTTCTTATTATCCAAATACCATCTTTAATAAAATAGGTCGAAGTTTCACTGTGATAATCTTAATGTACTTTATGTAGAGTAGAGTTATTTAAGAGGCACTTTTACCTCATTTAAAAGCACACACGAGCCTTCATAGCGGTGTTTGTTACTGTGATGAAGTTCCTGAGGTGTTTGCATTATTTTGTCTACCCCCTGGATTGTCTACCCAACTGGAGGAGAACTTTCAGACACAAACACTTTCCTTTTGCCTCTCGCACTCCCCTTACAATCGAGACAATTTATTCTCTTGTCTCGGAGGTAACGCTTTTTTTAAAATATTATTTTCTTGCTTGGTTAATTTTTAATTCCGCGTAGACTCACTGATCTCTCTCCGGACCAGAGTCCCTCAGTGGTAAAACATCAGTGAGATAAACGATGTGTGCTGCTGCATGTACTGATGGAGATAGTTAGGAAGCAAGATGAAAAGCTTCATCTCTGGGATACAGAAGATGAAAGTGAAACCTTGTTTTGAATGTGGGTTGCAGCGTGTTGTTAGATCTCTTCTTATCCTTTTTGCTCACAACCCAACCCATATTACAACCACGTCAAGGGCTAAAGCTTTACAATACGGCCCTCCTTTCTTCCTCTCTAATCAGCCAGATGTAACACATTTTTAACACGGCTCATTCTGATGCTAACAGTGGGCTCGCCATTCTCTTCACCTGACATCATATTTGATAGATGCAACTACAGAAAAATAAATATTCCTTTGTTAATAACAACACATCTCCTGCTATGTTGCAGTATAAGTCATTTTAGTATGATAACTCATCATCTACCACATATCTGATTGTCTTATTACTTTGTAATTATGGAAATGACTGAGCTTTAATTTAAAAGCGGAATCATCATGCTGTCCTTCACGTTAATAAAATCATTTAAATTATTTAAGACCAGTGTTCCATTCACTTTTTAGTTCTGTTTAATTCCCCCTGCCGCCAGTAAGTGCTCACATGTATTTGTATTCTCAAAATCAAGGCAAACATTTCCCTACAGCTAAACAACTGAGCAGTGCTAAACTGAATTCAAGTGAAAGTTTCAATAAAGCAGTGCCTTTTCATAAAACTGTCAAATCTAATATGAAACTTTTGATTAGATTTTCTTCCAGATTAATCGCACACGTTTTACCTCAACATGGTATGACAGTTCAGATTGCCATTATTGCATGCTGACAGTCCATTGCCTGGAGGAGAATTACTCGCAACATTAAATATCCTGTTTCATTAACAAATATATGGAATTTAAAAACAAGTTAATAAATAAATAAAAAAAAACATTTTACAATCACCCAAAAACATGTCACAGAAAAATGAATGGTTTGACGCCTCAAACGAACAAGGTCTCCATGTTCAAAAGCCAGTGTGCCCAAATTAGTCAGAAAAAAATATATTAAATTTGAGGTGGCCAAGCCCCCTGAAGTATTGAAATTGCATTTCTGGCTGTCACCATCAATCTGTTATCTAATCAGTCCTTCTGCCTTCTCCACCTCCTCTTCTTCCTTCTCTTCATCCCCCCCTCCTCCAGACATTAGGGAGAGTGGAAGCCCCAAGCCGGTGATGGTTTTCATCCATGGGGGCTCCTACATGGAGGGAACTGGGAATATGTTTGACGGCAGCATCCTGGCCAGCTATGGGAATGTGATTGTCATAACTGTCAACTACCGGCTGGGCGTCCTAGGTAAGATGCACAACCATTGGTCATGTTTTGTCCATTCTTCCTTCCATCATTGGTGATTCCATTAGCTTAGCTTGAAGGCCAAAACTTAATATCTTTCTTTCTGTCTTTCTCTTTTGGTGTGGGTATGTGTTGTGAGTTTTGCTTAGCCTGAAAGGCACCACTAGAACTTTAAAAAGACTTCCTGACTGCTTCCTGTCTTTCTTGCTTTCCTCGTCCCCTCGTTCTTTCTCTCTGTTCTTGGTGATTCTGCGTGCTGGTAAGCAGCTTAATGTGACTCTGGTTCTTTTATAGGAATGCGAGCTCCTCACTTGGTTTCGTTGGTCTTTGCTTTTGTTAATAAGTGGTTCAAACTGATATCTGTAACTGACATCTGCTCTCAGTTGTTGAATACAATTCAGACATTTATATCCAAAGGTTCGATTTGTATCGTTGAGGTTTTTGTTTTAATTTGTCCTTCACTTTTGTTATGTGGTTACATTCGGAAGGTCAAAGGCAAATTAGACTTAAAAATAACATGTAATATTTCTCTTCTTAACATTCACCTTCACGCAACCCTTTTATGTTGAAGAAACACAGAGCAAGACTTTGTCAGATGCAGTAAAGGACATGCTAACATTATACCTCAGCTTTCATTTTGATGTACAAAGAATATTGTAGTGACAGCCTTCTTATCCTTATCTAAGCTGACATGTGTTGAAAATGACACATCCATTGCAGAGATGACAATTGGTCTCTGGGATTTGGCCCGGTTACCATGCGCTGATGTATCTACCCTACCCGTCTCCTTTCTTATATTTGGTAGCCTTTAATCTATCATGCCGATGACTTCTCTGATCTTCACTCACCTTCTTTTTTTTCATTCCTGTCTCTGTTTTCTTCTTCCTCGATCTTATCTCTTCTCATCAGTCTAACTCCTAATTCATTTTCTCATGTGTATGGATGTCACTGCCTTACCCAGAGGGGAGGTATATATTGCAACACATGACAGAAAGAAAGAAGGTCCTCTGCCTCCGTCCTAAATGAGATTATGCTGTCATTTGTCTGGATGGAAGGAGCTGATTTCATTTCTATGTTGTTTTGGTTGCTGTTTTTGTTTTTTTATCCATTTCTTATTAAACTATTCCAGCTATTCAACTAAAATACTGCTTGTCTGGGGGCATGTTTGTGTGCATATATTAGCGTCTGTATGTGCATATGAATTATGAGCATAAAGGCTTGAAGGTGATTTGTTAAGATTCTGATAGCAGAAACAAAACGCGAAACACAACATTTATGTTCTCTGCAGGTGGTCTGCGTCTCAGTGTTCAGTTATTCAGGATCTGCTCTCTTTTACATGACCTTTATATTTATTTGTTTAAATTGCAAATACAGAGAGATATTTTCCAGCCGTAGATGCTAGCAGAGCAGTTGTGGTTTGCGTTACTTTGAGATATAACTGTCAGTCAGCCAGTGACTGGAGGACCTCCCACCTACACACACACACACACACACACACACCCTCCCAGCAACATTCAAGCTCTGCCAAAGCCACAAAAGTGGATATTAAATAAAGTACTCAATCATTTGCAGTTACCAATCAGTCATTCCTTTTCAATACCCACTTATTCCTTTTCAGGGTAAGGTTGAGGGGGGTACAGTACTTTATATAGATACTGTGAAAAAAATATATTCAACTGCGGATGTATGTATCATACATTCACAACAGTGCTAACTATTCAATTAACAAACCATGACCAGAAGCATTACACGGTGATAGTGACTGAATTAGTTGTTCGACAGAAAATCAACGGCAATTAAAACATTTATTATCACTAATTGGCTAAATGCACCACATATTTGCTGGTTCCAGCTTCTTCTTCCTTTAGAAATTGAAATTCGGCTGTTTGTTTGACAACACTAGCTCTTTAAAGATTTCATGTTGTGCTGTTGAAAGTTGTGATTGGCAGTTTAAACTACTTTGTCACGTTTTATAAACATACTAAAACATTGATTAATTAAATAATTTATAGAATAATGAAAAAATATCAATGGCAGCCCTATAACCATGCAACAGTTGTGATATTTCTTTGGGAAAATGCTGGTAAGCATTGAAGTGTCAGTGTCAACACGTTTAAGTTGTGAATATTTAGAGCATAATGTTTAGCAATTCCATCTTCCTATTACATATTAGAAACGTCATAAAAATCGTTGCAAAAGTGCACAAAATGGCATTGAGACAAGCACTGTAAGGGATAAACAACACAAACAAATAACAGCTAATCAGATTTTATAGGTTTTAAATATTTTAGACATGACAGGAATCAAGCTTCTCTCTCTCTCTCTGATGTGCAAGCTCTTAACAGCTGCAGGCCTCATGGTGTTGAGGGAAACTGTATCCCTGCTGGTTAACATGAGGTGCCGCTGTTTGCTCTCAGATTAGACTCTCTGTGTTTGTGTTTACCCCCCTGGCAATGGACAAAAACATACGGCTTTACCTCACCAAACATGTGATGGTGGATATGTGTGTGTGTGAGTGACAGGGATCGCGGTGTGTACTCAGCTACAGTAGGTGTTAAGACTCATAACCGCTGGGCTTTTCCAGTCAGTCATCCAGTTTTAGTAAGCATATCAGTGAGTTCAGTAAGTAGCCACCCTGCCAAAAATACCCATCAAGCCATTTAGTCTAGTATTGAGTAAAGAAAACAAAAGATTCCTGTTTCATTTATTGCCTAAAATTGTTGCAGTACGTATTGTGAGGTATTGCCATTGGCGCTCAAAGAATGTAAAACTGTGCTGGTACAATGTGGCTCTACCAGGACACTTTCACTCCTGAAGTCCGTACCCAGAACACCAAACTGTGAACTGTTAGTGAGACATTAATTACCACACATAGGTCACCCTTCTCACCTTGGTGAATGTACAAGTTCTACAACATAGACGATAATTCAGGCTTTGTCTCAGCATTTCAATGTTTCTTTGGTCCCAATCAGAGACAAAGAGCATTTAAACCACTCGTGCTTAGATGTGTGGCATGTCATAATCCAGTTGCACCTTCACTCAAGGTCCATATCCATTTAGTAAGGTTTGTGACAATGCAGGGTTTCACTGGATTAATGTTTAGTGCAGTGGTCTCTGTGCATGCGCTCGCGTTCATACAGCAACCTGAAGCTTCTACAGACTTTTAGAGAGACCCATCATATGAAAAAACACTGCCTGCAAACTGTTTTCTCCATATTAGCCACACATAGACAAATGAGGTATTATATCTGATAATGTTTACGTGTTGTGTTGATAAATCACATTGTTCAGCTATTCAGTGCATGGAGTGGTCAGCTTTAACATTTGGTGTGGACTTCAGGGGACATCAGAGCTCACTTGAAGCAGACACCACATCGCATGTGTGGACCAAGGAGTGTTTTGCTGGAGGTAGAGTTTGATAACTGCTTTCACACTCAATAAGCACACATACAGAATTCCACTGGAAAATGACCTTGGGCCTAGAAAATGTCTCTGATAGGCCCACATTTGAAAACACCCTTTGGCAGGTGGTATGTTTCCTAAAAGCTTCCAAGGGCAGACCAGGGCTGACCATGCATGAGAATGAATAAATGGATTAAGTGGGTCCTATCCTCAAGGAACCACAAGGTATTCCACATCTCAGAAAGAGATGTTAAAATCTTTGACTAAAAGACTAGAAAGTAACATGACACTGTCCTTCATTAATAACTTTCAATCATCATCACGTTCTCTAGCTGGCCAGTTAGCCTCCGATGGTGAAAGTGTGCGGTTGGCCTTACCCGGCCAGCCATTTCAGCACCTGGTGGCTTGGAGAGGCTGCTCTGCTGTCAGAACTCCCTGCTCTCGCACCAGTGATTTTTCTCCTTGGCTTAGTGTGTTTGTGTGTCTGTGAGAGCCAACGCTTTACAGGAAGCCATTAGTGGCTTTAAATATGCAGAGCTGCTGATGCTAAGCTCTATTTATCCTTTAAGGGCCTTGGCTACAATGGTTTTGGCCATGGGGCATGTATAAAGTATGCTACTGTCAGTGTGATTCCATGTGTGTGTTTAATGAATTAGGAGTTTCTCCTGTGTGAAGATGAAGTGTTAATGGAACACATGGTATAGTGCTTTCAAAGTGTCATTATGAAGTGTGGCATGTATTGATTGTCTTTGTCATGTTACTCCTCCTTGGTTTATAAGGGGACACACAGGCTGGAGGGTTGGTTGTATTTGAAACTAAGAAAATAAGTACTTTATTGTCCTGATACAGTATTCATATATTCAGGCATGTGATACATAGTGCTATTCTGTGGTCTGCTTGAAGGTAACGTCATAATATCTATATGTAATGGTATGTCTTGCTCTAAACACCTCGCAATCCTCAACTGTGTCCTCATGAATTGAATAAATTAGTTCGTTAGATTTTTGAACAATTGAACAATTAGAAGGATGTGGAACTGAGTTGTTGGCAGTTCGATATCCAACATGGAAAAGACAAAACCACAAATGTTGATTGCAGCTGTCAATACATGAACCCCATACCTCCACAGGGCTTGTTTGTTGAACTCCCAAACAACACTGTGCCTTTAAGGCCAGGCCCTCAAAGTGTGTTGAGTTTGTTTCAGCCCAGCCAAAACCTTTAATCATGCTGATTGATGAGGTGCATTTCCCTGACTCAAACCTTCTCCAAATACCCTTTCCATTCTAGCCATACATCAGCCATTCAGCCAATTCATCAAGCCTCTGATTGTTTTAAGATATACCTGGCCAGTAAAATATCCATTTCTCTGCACGGCATTGCTCCACAAGCCCTGCCCTGCTTTCAGCACCACAATCACATCTAAACAGTCCTGGCTTGAGAAGAGACCATGCAGGAAAAGGGCCGGCAAGCAGATGGAGCTAGGAAACAACATGCAACTTTAGCTGTCTCAAAAACAATTGATTGATCTGAGGTATTTGGATTATTATGATAATTACTGAATAATAAATGAGCAGACTGTCTATGTAGAGTTTCTCTCTGCA